TGGTTATTTGCAAATACGCATAGTTGTCTGGTGGAACTCTCAACACTGTCTGGTGGAACTCCCACCACTGTCCCTCACCTAACAGCAGTCTCTCACCTAACAGCAGTCTCTCACCTAACAGCAGTCCCTCACCTTACAGCAGTCTCTCACCTTACAGCAGGCTCTAACCTTACAGCAGTCTCTAACCTTACAGCAGATCCTCACCTTACAGCAGTCCCTCACCTTACAGCAGTCCCTCACCTTACATCAGTCCCTCACCTAACATCAGTCCCTCACCTAACTGCAGTCCCTCACCTTACATCAGTCCCTCACCTTACATCAGTCCCTCACCTTACATCAGTCCCTCACCTAACTGCAGTCCCTCACCTAACTGCAGTCCCTCACCTAACTGCAGTCCCTCACCTAACTGCAGTCCCTCACCTTACAGCAGATCCTCACCTTACAGCAGATCCTCACCTAACTGCAGTCCCTCACCTAACTGCAGTCCCTCACCTAACTGCAGTCCCTCACCTTACAGCAGATCCTCACCTTACAGCAGTCCTACCTAACTGCAGTCCCTCACCCCAACTGCAGTCCCTCACCTAACTGCAGTCCCTCACCTAACTGCAAATCCCTCACTTACAGCAGATCCTACCTTACAGCAGTCCTCACCTAACTGCAGCCCCCACCTAACGCCAGTCCCTCACCTAACTGCCCGCCCTCACCTAACTGCAGTCCCTCACCTTACAGCAGATCCTCACCTTACAGCAGATCCTCACCTAACTGCAGTCCCTCACCTAACTGCAGTCCCTCACCCTTTCAGCAGATCCTCACCTTACAGCAGACCTCACCTAACTGCAGTCCCTCAACCTAACTGGGAGTCCCTACCTAACTGCAGTCCCTCACCTTACCCGCAGTCCCTCACCTAACTGCAGTCCCTCATCTAATGCAGTCCCTCACCTAACTGCAGTCCCTCACCTAACTGCAGTCCCTCACCTTACAGCAGATCCTCACCTTACAGCAGTCCCTCACCTAACTGCAGTCCCTCACCTAACTGCAGTCCCTCACCTAACTGCAGTCCCTCACATAACTGCAGTCCCTCACCTAACTGCAGTCCCTCACATAACTGCAGTCCCTCACATAACTGCAGTCCCTCACCTAACTGCAGTCCCTCACATAACTGCAGTCCCTCACCTAACTGAAGTCCCACTATTGTAAGCTTACTAATGTTTTCTTTGATGCAGTTATAGGAGAGCAGAATTGACATTGATCCACTTTGCATTTGGGGATAATAATGGTAGAATTATGATTTAGAATGTCTGTATTGTGCAATGTCCATGATGACACATACAGTACAGTTCACCTTGAATGCATGATTGGCTTTAAGCAAATACGACTGTTAATAACTATAGCACGGACAAGACTATGTGAGTTTGTGCATTCGGGGTCTCGACCGACAAACTATATCACTATTTTGTATTGGAGGAAATAAGAAAAGCAGAGAGGGGGTTGCCATTGGGTTAGGGTTACGGATGTTGCCATTGGCCATAGAATGTCAGCAATGCATAACTGGATTGGAACAGAGCTTGACATCAGACTAATGAAGGAGAGTTGTTTTCTAGCATTGGATTCACTCTTCCTTCTCCACCTTATGACAGGTCAGTATCGGTGCTTGGGTAAAATCACTGAGGAAGCCAAGCCAGTAAAAAAGCCACATTACAACCTATGTTGTGATGTTTGCTCTATAACCCTTTCGTTCATACGTCGCCATGAAATACAATAAGGCCGTGACAACAAAAAGACAACAGTCACACAGTGGCGGAATAAATTCAACTACACATATGTTTGTTAAAAAAAAAAGAAAAGGGGAACAAAATCTGTCTGGTGAAGTCCACAAAACAAATATTGCACGTAACAAACAGTTATATCACCTGCAGCATGGTCAAGCAAGTTAATGTTTAAGACAGTTTACTAAATAAACAACTTCTGCTTTAGAACCAGGAAGTTACCGCAAGTCAGCACAAAGACAACAGGAGCACTGCCTCTGCTATTCCAGCACCATTTCAACTTAAACATTTAAACATCATCAAATCAACAAGGCTATATATGCTTAGTTTAATACACTGAAAACAAACTTAAAGATACCCAAAACAATTTAGTCCAATCAATGTTGCTAAATATAATGTGGCTGTCGATGGTACTGATTTGTGTGTGTGTGCATGTTTGTGCGCTCGCGCAAGTAAAACAAAACATGTTGACTCACCCTACTTGTAGACTAGACTCTCTTTCATGTTGGCGAAATGGTCTTTGCTCTGTCATACAGTACACTTTTAGTTTTTGTTGTCATCGGCTACCTAGCTAAAATGCTTGCTAGCCTGACTTCCTAGCATGAGCAACAATGAACCAGCTAAGTTAGCTAGCTAGCTAGTTAACGTGAGCCTACTAGGCTACATCTAGGCTACATATTGAACTTCATTCGTTTCAGGCCAGTGACACAACATATTAATTTATGGTTAGATCAGAATCGCCGTCATAATCATTGGCCTGTTCAGAGAATGAAGTCAAACCCACAGGTCTAAATCCCCATCTCCATCCATGGTTTAGGAAAAGGCTGATTTAGCAAGCTAGCTACTGCAGGACACAAGCAGACCAGAAACAGAAACGTTTTTCTGAAAATGAAGTTTTGCCTAAGAAGTGTTTTTATCCAATTAGTAGTTATAGTCTTGTCCCATCACTGCAACTCCCGTACAGACTCGGAAGAGGCAAAGGTTGAGAGCCATGCGTCCTCTGAAACACGACACTGCCAAGCCGCACTGCTTGCTTAACCCGGAAGCCAGCTGCACCAATGTGTCAGAGGAAACACCGTACAACCGAAGTCAGCTTGCAGGCACCCAGCCCGACACAAGGAGTCACTAGAGCTCGATGGGACGACATCCCGGCCGGCCAAACCCTCCCCTAACCCGGACGACACTGGGCCAATTGTGCGCCGCCTCATGGGGGTCTCCCGGTCAGGACTGGCTGTGACACAGCCCGGGATTGAACCCGGGTCTGTAGTGATGCCTCAAGCACTGCGATGCAGCGCCTTAGACTGCTGCGTCACTCGGGAGGCCCTTTAGGAAGTGATTTGATTGGTCTGAAGCCAAATCCAAACTGGCCTCCCTTGGGGGGGCTTTTTCTGAACCAGGACAACCCACAGTTGAGCTATTTTATTTTTTAAATGATCAAGGGAGGCCAAATGTTTGCTGGCATCAATCAATCAAATGCTAAGGCGGCAACATGTTATTCTCTTTTGGTCCAGAGCATCAGATACATGGGCTACATATACTGAGACAGAGGGGCGCTGTTTCCCTCTGATGATTTATCCTGTGAGATTCAGCCACTTGCGAATTTACCCAAAATTATGAAAACACAGAGAGACGAAAGATAAATTATTTTATCATTTTTATTGGTGAAATATTTGGGAAATCCTGGCTTACCTTGGCATCCATGAATACACCCCACTGTGGCAGGTGCGCAAATATAAAATCACACCAATGCACAGTTAACCCTATATATCCTACTTTGTGTTGTATGATTTATATACATAAAAATGTTTCCCCTCGCATTGAACCGAGAGAAAAAATACACTTCCTCAATGACAAGTGAATAAAGAAACCTATTGTACGTTTTAATATATACACATAACGCTAACCCCATAGGAATTGACTATGTTGTACAGTAGCCTAGCCTATAACACGCAATGTGCTGAATAATGTACAGGACAATAATCAATATAAATATATAGTCTCCATCGCTGTGCTTGCCTTGCAGTTGGTGCTAAGGTGTAATTACGTCATTCTAGGTGGAAACAAAGCCGACTGGGTGCTTTTTCAGCACCGCGCGCGCGTGAGCGCGGACAGCTCGATTCCAACAGCTCCAGCAGACCCGGTCCCGGAGTGAAGACATAACCTGCACTATTGGAATAAAATACAAAAGATGATAAAGGAAGGATTTATCCGAACGGGAGTGAATGGGGATCGAATCGGATCTTTTGGGTGGTTATTTACCCCGGTGTCCGACTGGAATGTATATTATGGTTTATGGTTCAATTTACGAATGAATGTTGTGCGTCAACTTCGCATTGCTGCCGCCTTGTTTTGGTGACTTTGAGGAATCTATAGCTTTTGAATGCTCACTCGGAGGAGAGCAAATGGAATCGTGCGTTAGGTGAGTTTATTTGTCCCTTTGTTGGTTATGTACTGTATGAGCGCGCTCGCGCCAGTGAAGAGCTATAATATTGATTTTATTCTCTCTCGCTCTCTCTCTCTTTCTGTTTCGAAGTACTCAGTGTTGAATGTGAGGGTATGCAAATGTGATTGAATTATGACCGTGTGGATATCCATTTCTTTTTGAGGAATGACACTGTTCAGAGTTCTTGAACTGAATCTAGTGGGTATACAATGACAAAAACGTAGCCTACTCTATATTCCTGAAAATGTTATCAATTTAATAGCAGCTGCATGATAATATATATTTTGGAATTATTTTCATATGAAAACCAATCTTTACTGATCCCTATCTAAACAGTGAAGCCCTCTCCAAACTATTACCCCATTTAATTTATATTTTATTCACAATAACACAAATAGAAGTGATCACTGCTTTGGGATAATAACATGGGATGTAACACCTTATATTCATGATTATGTACACTACATTATGCAATGTCTGGCTATGTTTTGATTGTCGTATGTGATTGTCCAATAATCAATCAATCAATCAATCAGTCTCTCTCTCTCTCTCTCTCTCTCTCTCTCTCTCTCTCTCTCTCTCTCTCTCTCTCTCTCTCTCTCTCTCTCTCTCTCTCTCTCTCTCTCTCTCTCTCTCTCTCTCAGGGTCATCCTCCTATCTCTCTCATAAGGGGTACAGGTCTCCCTTGTATTTGAGACATTCCATCTCAATGGCATCCCCTGTACAGTATACTTAAAGAATAGGAGACTAACAAGGATATCAACATCTAGCTCCATCCCACACCACCAGCCATGGATCCCCTACCGGAGTACTCCCTGTTCCTAGTCCGGATCCTGGAGGAACTAGACACTAAACACAGCAGTGTGTCCTACCAGGACCTGTGTAAATCCCTGTGTGCCCGCTTTGACCTGGTCCACTTGTCCAAGCTACGGAGCCTTCTGTTCTACACAGCCTGCCTGGACCCAGCCTTCCCTGCCACTCTCTTCAAAGACAAGATGAGATGTACCGTCGAGGACCAGCAGTCTAAGAAACTCATGGTGGCAGCGGATATCGTCACTATGTTTAACCTAATCCAAATGAACGGGGGGATCGCCAAAGATAAGCTACCGATGGCACCACCCAGGCACAAGTTCCACAAGAACCAGTCGTTTGAGTCGTGTAGGTCCGACACAGATGTTTATAAGTACCAGGACTATGAGAGGGGCGGCGGTTATGACCTCATGGATCAACCCTCCAGGGCGGGTCACCACCCCCACCATCGCCCCATGTCTCAAAACAACTCCTCCCACCCCCGTCCACACCCCCATCCCCACTCTGCCAGCTCGAAATCCAACTGCACCAACTGCAGCCCGCAGTTCATCCCGACCTCAGACCCTAACTTCCTATTGGGCGTCAACAAGGATCTAAAATGTCGAGCAGCATCGCTAGATAAGCTGCAGCACCTGCCCCAGTACTCGAGCTGCAGTCCTCCCTCGCCGCCCTGCGAGATGCAGAGCACCTACTTTCCTATGGACATTGACAGTGAGTCCACCACGGACCAGGAGTCCCTGCAACACATCAACCACACTGAGCCCTTCTCTGTCCACTCCTGTGTCCAGAAGAGAAACATCTTCAAGGAGGATTTTCACAACCTGCTAGCGTTCTCCCCTCAGGTCTGTGTCTCTGGTCTCTAATTTTATATGATTTATTTATTTTTACTAAGCATTTTTTTTTTTTTTTTACATACCATTCATTATGCAATAATAATTCTAATGACATATTTGTTAGGAAGTACCCCAAATAAGTTTGAGTTTTAATGTTGTCCCATTACTACACTGAAACAACAATACATGAAAAAACAAACATTGAAGATAAAGTCAGACTGATTTCCATTGCAGCCTACTCCTCTTTTAACCATCTGTTATCACTGTTTTCTGTCGTCTAATTTTCACTGCTATATGTGGTGGCTACTTTCCTACTAAATGGTGCTAGCTGTAAGTATTTGTGCCATTGTTTGCTAATCTAACCATCTAAATGTCAAAGAAAAGCACACAAAACCCAAAGGAGAAAATAAAAGTGATAAAACAGTACCCCCCACTTCCTGAAGCTGGTCCATAGATCTACAGATGTAGGATCTTAATTTGACCTGTATTGTTGCAGCAAAATAATCCTGCAACAACAGGATTTTAACGTTTAGTCCATAATGTTGCTTGATCGGTGGTTAGGCTATTAGCTGGTCAAAATGCGGCTACATGAAAAGTGGAATACTGTTAATAGAACCGTTAGTGCGGGTTTTCAATGAATATATGTCGATCATGAAGGTCATCTGCATTTCCTGTGGCACAGGAAAATTCTCAGCAACAAAAGAGTGATCAAATGAAGATCCTACATCTATATAGCCTATGTCACATAGAATGGAAATGTCTCAACGGACATAGCTCTCTGTGAGAGTAACCAATCTATAAAACGTATTTCTTTCTAGAAAAGCTTGGTCTGAGCCTAATGTTACATCCAGCACCTTTATGCTTAGTTTGACTCTTTCTTTGTTTGATTTGATAATGCAGGGTGTTTTGACTGATGTTAACACAACAGTGTATTAACATGTTATTGTTGTAAAAGCGAATTACTCTGTAACAATTTTTCATTTTTTCACTTGTGTAATGACTCAAAACAATTACCAAATTTCTATGAAACTATTACATTTTGGTTTTAGTCATTTAAAAGACGCTCTTAGCAGCGTGACTTAGAGCTAAACAATACAATGTTACAATACTATTACAGTGTCACTACACAGGTTTAAGAGCAGCTTAATGAAGTGTTACGCCATTGTCGTTATAGGTCATCACGTCAGAGTGCAAGCCAAACATCAGGGCAACTGGAGGCTACCACCGGAGGGAGCTCCACAAACCTGCTACGTTCTTCAACCACAGCTTTGAGCTGCCCTACAGTAACCCCTACTTTGAGCCTTCTATGAACTCGCCCATTCAGGAGAAACGGCGAGCGAAGCACGAGAGTCTGGACGACCTTCAGGCGTCTACGTATTTCGGCCCAACAACAGTGACGGAGTGCGTGAACACACGGAGGAGTACGTCTAAGCCGGGGAAGCAGCCATCTTGGCCTGTGAAAAGCCTGAGTCTGAACGCAGAAGAAGGGCCACCGGATTTCGAGAGGTCGTTTCTGAACGGGAAACCTCTGAAAGACAACCATCGCCACAATGTTGTCAATAAAGAGAATGAGCAGCACTTCCAGTGCGCCAAAGAGAAAGTGACAGCCTCCCCTTCAGGGTTCGCAAAGAAAACCAATGGGTTGAAAACAAAGGATATGTCTTCAATGGCGTGCGGTCCCGGGATCAGTGTCGACAAAAGAGAGATTGGGAAAAGATTTAAAGAGAAAGGCATCAACAGTACGTCTTTTCAGGGAGGTAACATAGACAACTCGTCCAGCGTGGGGACCCAAACAGAGCAGGCCGAACAGAGGAAGTTAAAAGACTACGCAGCCGCTCACGCGAAATACGTCGAGAGAGAGAGGCACTCTTTCAAACACTCGGAAGAGGACTCTGAGATCATCAGCGACGACATCAGTGACATCTTCCGCTTCCTTGACGACATGAGCGTGTGCGACTCGCTGGGCGTCATCCAATCGTCGTGCTACAACAGCATCGGATCTCTTTCTCAGGTGACCATGAAGTCTGACGGCGACAGCTCGCCCGAACGCAACACGATCAAACTGGCCAAGTCCAAGCTGGACTGCCTCTTTCACTCCCTGGAGAACACGGATGATGAGCTCAAATCAAGCGTGTGCAAGCTTGTGATGAGGATAGGTGAGATCGAGAAGAAACTGGAGTCTCTGTCCGGAGTCCGAGGGGAGATCTCGCAAGTGCTCTCCAAGCTCACCAAACTCGATGAGAAGATCCAGGAACCTGAAACCAACGGGAGAACGGGTGAAAACGCTTCAGCCACCGCCTCCACCCCAGATCACCTCCACCCGAACCCCCTCCCCGACCCCAACCTCTCGCCCCATGTCTTTCAGTGCCACACGACAGGCCACAACATCAAAGTGGACAACGGGTCAGCAGAGTGGGGCTGCTCAGACAGCGAGAGTCTGAGGATCAAGGCAGTTAAGAAAAGTATGTTCTTGCGGAGGTCGTCACGCTCGCTCAATGAGGAGAACAGTGCCACGGAGTCAAAGGTGGCGAGCATCACCAACTCACCACGGGACTGGAGGACGGTGTCGTATTCCTCACACCATGGGGACGAGGGCAAAGACAAGGACAGGGACAGAGACAGAGAAAGGGACACCAAGGACAGACACAGGAAAGCCAAAGAGGTAAGAACAACGGTTTACATTTATAGAACACTTTTCACATTACACTTACCTTGTCCACCACCAACATTAGATACTCTCTTTGTATTTTTTTTTTAGCTGTTTTGATGTACTATGAGAGCATATTTTCTATCACAAGAAAGCGTCTTTGGGAGAAAAGCGCTATTAAAATCCTATGTATTATTATTATTATTATTTAATTTTTTATCACAGAAACATGACAAGAGTAATGTCAACGAGGTAAGAACAATGGAATACATTTATATAAGGCCTTTGTAAGTGCTGGACCACACTGTACGTTGTTCAAGAACAGACACAGACATTATTCATACCCCTTTACTTTTTTCACATTTTGTTGTGTTACAAAATGGGGTTAAAATGGATTTTAATTGTAGTTTTTTGTCTACAATCTACAAATTTTTTACATTAAAAAAACGAATGAAAAATAAAACACTAATATATCTTGATTAGATATTCAACCCCCTAGTCAATACATGTTAGAAAAACCTTTGGCAGCGATTACAGTAAGTCAGCGAGTCTTTTTGGCTAAGTCTCTAAGAGCTTTGCACACCTGGATTGTGCAATATTTGCCCATTATTCTTTATAAAATTATTCAAGCGCTGTGAAGTTGGTTGTTGATCATTGCTAGACAGCCATTTTCAAGTCTTGCCATAGATTTTCGAGCATATTTAAGTCAAAACTGTAAGTAGGACACTCAGGAACATTCAATGTCGTCTTGTAGATTTGGCCTTGTGTTTTAGGGTTATTGTCCTGCTGAAAGGTGAATTTGTCTCTGTGTCTGTTGGAAAGCAGACTGAATCAGGTTTATCTCTAGGATTTTGCCTGTGCTTGGCTACATTCCATTAATTTTTATCCTGAAAGACTCCCCAGTCCTTGCTGACGACAAGCATACCCATAACATGATGCAGCCACCACCATCCTTGAAAATATGGAAAGTGGTACCCAGTGATGTGTTATGTTGGATTTACCCCAAATATAACACTTGTATTCAGGACAAAAAGTTAATTCCTTTGCCACATTTTTTACAGTATTACTTTAGTGCATTGTTCTGTACAGGCTTCCTTATTTTCACTCTTTCATTTAGGTTAGTATTTTGGGTAACTACAATGTTGTTGATCCATCCTCAGTTATCTCCTATCACAGCTATTAAACTCTGTAACTGTTTTAAAATCACCATTAGCCTTATGGTGAAATCCCTGACTGGTTTTCTTTCTCTCGGGCTACTCGGTTTGGAAGGACGTCTGTAACTTCGTAGTGACTGGGTGTATTGATACACCATCCAAAGCCAAATTAACAGCTTTACCATGCGCAAAGGATATTCAGTGTCTGCTTTTTTAATTTTACCAATCTACCAATCAGTGCCCTTGTTTGTGAGGCATTGTAAAACTTCCCTGGTCTTTGTGGTTGGACCTTACAGATAATTGTATGTGTGGGGTACAGAGATGGGGTAGTCATGAGTCCCTGCAACTTATTATGTGATTTGAATACTTTTTGACTCAAGACATTTCAGCTTTTTATTTCTAATGAATTTGAAAAAAAAGATGAAAACTAAATTCCACTTTGACATTATGGGGTATTATGTGTAGATCAGTGACACAAAATCTAAATGTAATCAATTTTATATTCAGGCTGTCACAACAAAATCTGGAAAAAGTCAAGGGGTGTGAATACTTTCTGAAGGCACTGTATTCAAATGATTATTCTGACTCTACATTTTAGTCATTTAGCAGATGCACTTATCCAGAGCGACTGACAGTAAATGAGTGGAGGCTGCTGAGGGGAGGATGGCTCATAATAATGGCTGGAGTGGCGCAAATGGAATGGCATCAAACACATGGAAACATTGGCTGTACATGTCTCACACTGTATAATCACATGGCATTTTGAGGACATTGCATTCCTGAAAACCCGAGGACTATGACAACCAAGCCATACAAACATCAACTGTAAAACTTCAATTAAGTCTCAAATAGCCGCCTGTCCCTTTTAATAGCCTGGCATCAGCACACATTTCAAATCAAATCAAAGTTTATTGGTCGCGAACACAGTTTAGCAGATGTTATAGCGGGTGCAGCGAAATGCTTATGTTTGTAGCTCCTAACAATGGAGTAAAATGTCAAACAAGTACACAAATGATAATAAAAAAATAAAAACAACAAGAAATCAAGAAATGTCGGAACAAATCCAATTAATAATAATAATAATATAATTAACAACCCAAATAGCACTGTAACAGTAATTCAAATGCAATCTACTATATATTTCAGAAAATAAACACCTGTTTCTAATAAATGGCCAGGTTTAAGTGAATTGTTTATGAGTAAACTTCAGTGAGTACTGTAAAGATTATGCTCAAGAAGATAAAGGAGAGCAACATCATTGCCATCATTGTCTTTTCAACATTTTATTGAGCAAAAGCTGTGTGCATTGAGGAAATAGAAGCCTGGCTCAAATAGAAGCCTGGCTCAAATAGAAGCCTGTCTCTAATAAGCGCCAGTGATTGAAGCAAATAAACGCCCGTGGCTATTAATTAAGTTTTACGGTATATAAAGTATATAAGTAATTATCTCCTATTTACATGTAGACAGAGACGGGATGTCATAGAAGTACTGTCACAAATGTCTAGAGATTCAACAGTGTTAATTAAACAGTTGCTATGAAAAGGATATCATTTCCCTTGCTTCCCTTCCTCAAATCTCACACGCACGCACACACGCACGCATGCATGCATGCATGCACATGCACACACACACACACACACACACACACACACACACACACACACACACGAAGGAGACAGGCAATTGGCTTGACGGCAGGATTTGATGCTATAGTTGGGTCACAGACGTCAGTGGAGCTAAATTATTCCAAACCCATATCCCCCTTCCGTCTCACAGAAGGAAATGAGACGCGTTCTACCAATCTCTCCAATGAGAGGAGAGATTAATACTGTCATATTAGGAACACAAGAGGCAAGGGATTGGGGGCTGAATCTTTCTCCTTGGGGGCGTTTATGAACTCTCAGGTTAGCACTCTCACCATTCATCACTCGTCAAGGGGAAGGGACCAGAGCCATATCAGGCTTAGCAGAAAAACTGCTGGCATCCAAATATAGAGCAGGAGGTAACATGCTAACAAGGAAGTATGTAAAGGAGTCTGTTGTGAGATTTACAGGGATCAGAGTGCCATAATGTAGGTCTACTGCTGTTATACAGACAGAGGTAATAGGGTCTGTTTGTGAACGATTATCCGTTTTTAAATGAATGTTCTGTGATTATTGTTGTTTTTTATCTAATGGGGACTAATTCTCGGGCACGTGAATTACAATAGATTCCTTTCCTGAGTATTTCTTCAAAACCCTCCCACCCCCTTCCCATGGGAGAAGGAATTCACTTGTCCATAGACTCTGATTTAAAGTCAGATTTACATTCCCCCCTTCATGGTTAAGGTTAAGTTTAGGTGAGGGTTACGCGGAACCTAGATCTGTGCCTATGGGCACCCTCTTCTACCCCCTCCTTTCCTGTCCCTGGGGTTAATGGGCTTTTAAACAGCATGTTGAAATGTCGGTCTCAGTTTGCAGGTGTAACACTGACTAGTCATTCTCAGTGACCTTTCCCTGCGAAGCCAAATGGAGTGGATGTTAATTGAAATGGGTCTCGACCTCGAGCTGTCATTCTACAAGCCCTGTGCTGTGTAAGCATATTTTTGATCACTGAGTGGATAACTGCCTAGCATGCATGCCCTCTCCATCTAGATGAGTGGCATATGTCTCTCTCTCTCTCTCTCTTGCTCTCTCTCTCCTCATCTTTCTCTTTTCTCTTTTCTCCTCTCTCTCTCTCTCTCTCTCTCTCTCTCTCTCTCTCTCTCTCTCTCTCTCTCTATCTGTCTCTCTCTATCTGTCTCTGTCTCTCTCTCTCTCATAGCATTTTCTTAATTGCGTAGGCAGGTAGCCTAGTGAAACAATCCCTAGAGGCGATCCAGCAGCCGGAGGGTTGCCAGTTTGTATCCCATATCCGATGGGAAAAGTCTGTCAGGAAGTGAGCTGGCAACCGGAGGGTTGCTGGTATCTAAACCTAGATACCATTGCCTGCCGTTGTGCCCTTGAGCAAGGCACTTAACCCCCCCAAAACAATTAGCTCCCTGATCAAATCCCTCCTAACCTTGTTAGTTAGTTCCTCTGTCTGACCACATTCCAAACCCAGGGACATGTGATGAAATATTTCACTTCCCAAAGTAGAGTCTGAAAGAGCAAATTCCTCAGTCAGTTACCATGTGTTGGGACTTAACACGTACCCCATTGTCTTACTTCAGGAAGCAAAATGGCTGTCGGTACTCATCTGTCTGATGACTCGTGAACCCTTATGGAATAGATCAAAAGTCATTTGGCTACAATATGCTGTCATTACATTCCAATAATACCTAGGTGACTGTCAATATCAGCTCTTTTTCATCCTCAAAGAATCTGAATTAATCTTAATTAAACCCTACTGGAAGTTTCACACAAGATTAACACATTGTGTTTGCAATAACATAAACATGAAGTGATTTGATAACCTGTTTCTAATATGAAAAAGAGCGCCACCAACTGGTGGTGGTCTCCGAAAGAGATGCTGGTTAAATATAGATCCAATCGTCCCGGCGTCTCTATTAGAAGGCTTGGTAATGACCAGTAGGAGACAGATGTACAGAACACACTTTATTGCACACAAACCAACGTAGCAAGAGGGGACTAGTACAAGTGGTTTCTATGAAAGAAGGACACAAGTAACATATTACACAGCGGTAATAAGGTGATAGCAATGTGCTATATTAACTGTAATGTAGCAGTAGTGTGTATATACAGTAGATGACAATGGCCTATATACTGTACATACAGAGCTAGGGGAAATCATCAACATGCTAGCAAGCTAAATATAGCACACAGTGAAGATCAAATATACAATAGCTTAGACAGTAGCTATATATTAGCAATGGGCTAGCATGCTAGGTAGCTAAGCTAGCATGCTAGGTAGCTAAGCTAGCATCACTGGTTTACCGGACACAGCTCTGGGGGCCCATGCGCCTGTCATCGATGTTTAATAATAAAAAAATGATATAAATCATTTTGACAATAACCCTTCAAAAAGTCATTCATAAAACATTTTTATTTCCATATGTACTAGGAAGTTAAGTGTTTGTTTCTTGGACTGACTGAAAGTACAGGGGGATATCGGTGAACAAATGCCATGGTCAAGGCTACGACGGCTCCAATGAAATGAGTGGAGCTTACTCAGGTGTTCAAAAGTGCATGTCAGACCGAGAGCTTAATGCTTCTTAGATAGTTCTTTATGAGTTTTAGTTTAGAAATAGATCTCTCCACAGAAGCGACAGTTACAGGGATGGTAAAAACAGCTTGATTGCCGTAGCAACATCAGGGAAACTGGGCAGACGGGAGTGGTGCTTCAAATACAGCAGTTCTGCATAATGAAACAATCCCTAGTAAGCTAGTGTTTTGAGGGTGGACTGACTTATTTGGCATTAATAGACTGGTTTTACGCACAACTTTCTATCCAAGTTGGGAGAGAGCGCGAGGACGGCTCATGTCATGCAGGTTCAGGGATTATTTAAGATACTCTTTGAAGAGGTAGGGTTTCAGATGTTTTCGGAAGATGAGCAGGGACTCTGCTGTCCTAGCTTCAGGGGGAGGCTGGTTCCACCATTGGGGTGCCAGGACAGAGAAGAGCTTGGACTGGGCTGAGCGGGAGCCGCCCTCCCATACGGGTGGGAGGGCAAAGAGACCAGAGGTGGCAGAATGGAGTGCTTGGGTGGAAGGTTAGAAGTTCAGAGTTAGGTCAGAGTTTGTGAGCCTGTGTCCCAGGGCCGTAGAGAGTGACTGTGAAGGGTTTTATACTTGCCTGACACTCAAACTGAATTCTTCCGCTGCTCTATCATTCACTACATACTTCAGTCTGAGACTGCCATCACTGAAGGCATTTGTGGTGACGTCAAAATGAGGGGGTTTTGTACAAAACAAAGTCATCAGCGATTGGATCATCTCTAACCAATCAGAGTATCAAAGCAAATTACGAATTTTCAAAATGCCGCTTTAGCCACGCGTGTTCTGGCTCTGGCCCAACCCATCGGTTTCTGCGACCAATCGGGCTGAATGGATTTCCATTCTAGAAATCGTCAGGAATTACTCAGATCCCAACTCATTACGTGGGCGTGGCGTAGCGTTTGACTGGAGCAAAGAGTTTGGGTAACCAGGCAAGTCTTCTACATAACACATTTGAAATGTATTTAGGAGCTACACATGCACTCCAAGCTAGTCCAACCAACTGTAAAAACTTTGATACAAATACACAGGGATCAATGGAGGGAAGTGAAACAGCGGGGGGAGGGGGTCTTTGGAGACTGGAAGTAAAACTGAGTCGTCTTGAGGTGATGGAATGCTTCTGTATTTCATGGTAATATATGCTGGAGGGAGAGTCACACAACCTGTGACTCTGTTGTCTTCTGATGATTGTCTAAGAAGTATATACTCAGAGGACAGTCCATTGGTGGAACATAATAAGCTTGAGAAGAAATTGGACCAAACTTTGTGTTAATTGGAGTCAAATAAATGACATTTGCCACCTCTTCCTCCAAAAATGTACTAACACTTTATTGAACCTTTATTTAAATACGAAAGGACCATTGAGTTTAGAAACACCATTTTGCGAGGGGGACCTGGCATCAAGAGCCTCTTGATGAATATTACATTTACATTTTAGTCATTTAGCAGACGCTCTTATCCAGAGCGACTTACAGGAGCAATTAGGGTTAAGTGCCTTGCTTAAGGGCACATCGACATATTTTTCACCTTGTCGGCTCTGGGATTAGAACCAGCAACCTTTCGGTTACTGGCACAACGCTCTTACCCACTAAGCAACCTGCCGCCCTGGAAATGCCGGAAATACGCAATGGGACTACATATTCACAACCGAGTATTTGTCTGTGCTCTCTTCTATGTTGCTGGATCCTTGTAAATCCAGTAAGGGGCTATTCATTGAAAAAGTGCACAGTCCGTGAATCTCTCAATGATACCAACATGAAAGTAATCTGTGGAAAGAAGAACCTCCAAGCCATAGCAGAAGACATTCCATGAAAAGTAAGATTTTTAGACCTTTCCATCAACAACATTGTGATTAACAGAAAATGTGATTTCAAAGATCTCTCAGCCCTCAAATCTTTAAATACGTCCAGCAACCGGATCTCTCATGTGGACGATGGGGCTTTTTCAGACCTGGTCGCTCTTCAGGAGCTGAATCTAGCCAATAACAGACTCAACACCCTCTCAGACCACCGGTTTCAGGGCCTAGGCAACCTCTCCGTGCTTCGACTAGACCACAACCACATCAAAATCATTTCATCCTCTACCTTTCAAAATCTCTCCAGCTTAAATGTACTAAACTTAACTGGCAACCAACTTTATCTTCTAAAGAAGCTTCAGACGATTTTGCCGTTCACACACCTGCAGGAGTTGTACATTGGGAGCAACGGATTTACCTCTTTCCAGCCACAGGACATATCAAATAAGTCCATAGGACTGAGAGTGCTGGATTTATCCCAGAATCCAATGAGAATCTTCAGGATTACAGCTGATGTTCTTCCTGAACTCCACTATGTAAACCTCTCTGACTCCGGTCAAAATGGAAGCATGACATGGGATGCACCAGACAGGTATTTTCTGAGTAAAATGAAAAGTCTCCATTTGAGCTGTGTCCACGTCTTTGAAGGAAGTTAACATTAGGGCCACTATGTTCAGAGGACTGACAGCCTTAGAAAAACTCGATTTGAGTTGGAATCATATTAAATATCTACATTATGGTGAACTTAAATAAATATGGTGAACTTATATAAATATTAAATATGGTGAACTTAAATAAATATGGTGAACTTAAATAAATATGGTGAACTTATATAAATATTAAATATGGTGAACTTAAATAAATATGGTGAACTTATATAAATATTACATATGGTGAACTTAAATAAATATGGTGAACTTAAATAAATATGATGAACTTATATAAATATTAAATATGGTGAACTGAAATAAATATGGTGAACTTAAATAAATATGGTGAACTTAAATAAATATGGTGAGCTTATATAATATTAAATATGGTGAACTTAAATAAATATGGTGAACTTAAATAAATATGGTGAACTTAAATAAATACAGTGAACTTAAATAAATATGGAGAACTTAAATAAATATGGTGAACTTAAATAAATATGGAAAACTTAAATAAATATGGTGAACTTGAATCCCCACCCCTTTTCTCTTCTGCCATCTCTCAAGATCCTGGTCATCTCCACTCATTCCTTTTGGAATGTTGAATATACCCAGGGGCGCAACCTTGGTTTTAGAAGTGGGGGGTGACGACATAATATTATTATATATTTTGTATTTTTTTATCCAGTCAGATAAACACTCCAAACAGCCTACCCGACTGCTCGGAGGCGTCCGCATGGTCCTAAAGCACACCCTTGCTTCATTTGTATCACATTCCAATGGGGGACAACAATGCAATTTCAGAATGTGGGGGGGGATTTATTGGCATTCAACGCAAGGAGTCTTAACATTTTAAGTTCTTTCACCCAGACACATTCATCCACACACCACAGTTGTGGTCCCTTGACATCAGCCTGAATGAGTTCACAGCCCCGAGCACGGAGTTGTTTCACCCAATCCCACGACTCAACAAACTATACCTGTCTAAAGTCCAACTTCAGTCTTTAGATTTCATCATAGGAGCCAACCTCACTCAACTCAGTTACTTGCAGGTGATAAAGAATTACTTTACAGTGGTCAGTGAGACAATTATTCATTCTTTGCCTGCTTTAGCTTACTTTGACCTGCAAGACAAGACTTTCACCTGTGACTGTAGCAATGCTTGGTTTATCCAGTGGGCGACAACAGAAAACCAAACGCAGGTTATTGATGCCTTTGACTTTACCTGCAACTATCCGGTCAATCTAGGTGGTACCAAACTGTTGGACCTTGACACCCACTACTGTTCAGTAGATATAGGATTTTTCTACTTCATCTCCACCCCTTCTCTGGTCCTCCTAACCTTGCTGGGGTCCTTTATCTACCATCTCCTGAGATGACAGGTGGTCTACGCCTACTATCTCTCCCAGGCTTATCTCTATGACACAAAGCGAAGGAACGTCCGTGTGATTCATCAGTAGGATGCCTTCGTCTCCTACAACGGCCACGACGAGCCCTGGGTCCTGAGGGAACTTCTGCCAGAGCCGGAGGGAAACCAAGGCTGGAAGCTGTGTCTGCATCCCCTGACTTCCAGCCAGACAAACCCATCATTGACAACATCACGGACGCCGTCTACGGGAGCCGCAAGACCGTCTGCGTGATCAGCAGCCGCTACCTGGAGAGTGGTGCTCCCGGGAGATCCAAGTGGCCAGCTTCCGTCTGTTTGATGAGCAGAAGGACGTTCTGATCCTGGTGTTTCTGGAGGAGGTCCCAGACCAGTAGCTCTCCCCCTACCACCAGATGAGAAAGCTGGTGAAGAGACGCACCTACCTGAGCTGGCCCAGAGCTTGGGTGCACACCGGAGTCTTCTGGTAGAAACTCCGGGTGGCTCTGGAGACCAGGGACTGCCTTGCTGAGGAGAACCCCATCCTGTCCAGGGTGGATAGAAAATGATAGTGACACACTAAATGTAACGTTTCTAAATGAAAATGAGTTATTTCATCCAAACATGGCAGCAAGACAAAGAAAAATAGTTTTAAAAAACAATTATAAAAAGATACCAGTCAGGCTTTGTTCTACATTTACCCTATTGAATATAATTGACAAATGGCAATGTTTGAAATCAGAAATTTAGTTTATGCAAATCTACAATAAACTATGATGAAAAGTAAAATGAAATGTATTATAAAATATATGATGTGTGATATTTGATAATGAATTTATGATGAAATGTTTGACTTACTTACTTGTTACGTTCTCTTAGTTCTCTAGCTTTCTGGAACTTTTAAATGTTAAGTTTTAGGTGTAAGAGTGAAGATTCTTGAAATTGTTAAGTGTAAGCGAAAACCACTTTTTGATTCTTTATGATGAAAAACGCTTTGAAAATGAAAATGTCAAATACATTTGTCATCTTGCTCTTTAGACAAACTTTGTTTTTGACCAGCTATGAACTTTTACTCCTTCAGCTCCTTATTACATTATTAACATGAATCACTGTCAATCGTATCCATTTCCAAATGCCACAGATAAATCATCACCCAAAAATATTAATATTTCACTCTCTGTCTTTTCATCTCTTCTTCCTCTGTTGGCATATTGCTCAGATGGAGGGTAGCCAGTTCTTTCTGACACTCTGAATCAGCTCAGACTCACTTGGGGAATCTAGTGTACCTGTACACTGCTGCCATACAACCAAGCCAAGCCCACAACTTTGACTTTCTCTTGAATTCTCCACACTGCAGTTACTGCTGTGGAATCTACTCCAGTAGCCTCCATACAGTAATAAAACTATGTTAAATGACTTTAGGTATATTGAGTTATTATATATTTACCAGACTTATAGTATTGTGGGTAGACCATTGCAGGGCTGCCCACGGGTGATAGGCAACAAATCAGCATCATGTTATTGTCCTGCTCACAATTTGTGTGTAATTCTAGACCTGGGTATTGATTGTAATATAGTCTAAATGAGCAGTTCCTTTCAGATCTGTTATTGTTTACAAAGTCATACAGTCATACATTCATCCACAGCAATGTGAATACATTTATTTTACATGATAGTTCCACTTCCCAAATCTTAATTTACCTGATTATATGAAAATAGTTCCACTTCCCCCAAAAATTTTAAAAGTTCAAGATGCAGTTGAAACTTCATTTTGCAAAAATGATCAGTTGCTTACAGGCCCATTAATGTTTTCAAAGTAATAGTATTCTTAATTCACAGTATTACATATCATTACACATTCATATTGTTTAGATACTGTATCTAACATTCCAGAGGATACGTTGGTATATTAATATTTAATGTTAGAAGAGGCTTTGTTTTTTGCAGTACTGCTGTGTCCCTGTGAACAGAGAGAGGTCAGATGCAGACCCGTAGTAAAGGTTAGTCCATCTGATCAGTGGCCTGTGAAGCCCAGACATGCCCCCTCTGTCTTATCAGCAGTCCCCTGTTCCTATACCTCCTCTCCCTCCCTCACTCTCCCATTCCTCTCTACTCTAACTCCCCTCTGTTCTCTTCTCTCCTCCATCCTCTCCCCTCCATATCTACTCTCTCTATCCTTTCTCCTCTCATCCTGGCCCTCTCTACTTCATCTTCCCTCCCTCCCCTCTCCTCTTTTCACCCTCTATTCTCTCTTCTCTGTACCTTTTGACTCCCTCTCCTCTCCTCTCCTCTCCTCTCCTCTCCTCTCCTCTCCTCCTCTCCTCTCCTCTCCTCTCCTCTCCTCTCCTCTCCTCTCCTCTCCTCCTCTCCTCTCCTCTCCTCTCCTCTCCTCTCCTCTCCTCTCCTCTCCTCTCCTCTCCTGTCTATTTTCCCTCTCCTTTCTTTTCTTCTTCATCCTCTCTTCTCTCTGCTCCACAACCCCCCCCCCCCCCCTCTCTCTTTTTCCTCCCTCTGTTCTTCTCTCTCAATCTCACCTTCCTCTCCTCCTCGGTCTCCTCTCTCCTCCCTCCCTCTCCACTGCCTCACCATCTCTTTCAACCAAGCGGTACCCTGATCCTCCCTCTCCTCTCCCCTCCCATTCAGCTCAGAAATCTCCTGCACCTCCCTCTCTACTCACTCACTCTCTTTCCCTCTCCCCTCCCACCTCCCTCCTCTCCCCTCCCACCTCCCTCCTCTCCTCTCCCCTCCCACCTCCCTCCCTCCTCTCCCCTCCCACCTCCCTCCTCTCCCCTCTCCCCTCCCTCCTCTCCCCTCCCACCTCCCTCCCTCCTCTGCCCTCCCACCTCCCTCCTCTCCCCTCCCACCTCCCTCCTCTCCCCTCTCCCCTCCCTCCTCTCCCCTCCCACCTCCCTCCTCTCCCCTCCCACCTTCCTCCTCTCCCCTCCCTGTCACCAGAGCCTCTGCAAGACTCGTATAACTCCTGACTTAATAAGGATGTCAGGTAAGAGTGCCAAAACAACATTGGGAGAAGTGTGATCACGGTGTTGAAGCTTTCATCTCGCTTGTCACTCTCATTAGGTAGGTAGGCAGGCAGGCAGGCAGGCAGGCAGGCAGGCAGGCAGGCAGGCAGGCAGGTAGGTATGCAGGCAGGCAGGCAGGCAGACAGACAGACAGACAGACAGGCAGGCAGACAGACAGACAGACAGACAGACAGACAGGCAGGCAGGCAGGCAGGCAGGCAGGCAGGCAGGCAGGCAGGCAGGTATGCAGGCAGGCAGACAGACAGACAGGCAGGCAGGCAGGCAGGACAGGCAGACAGACAGACAGACAGACAGGCAGGCAGGCAGGCAGGCAGGCAGGCAGGCAGGCAGGCAGGCAGGCAGGTAGGTAGGTAGGTAGATAAGTAGGCAGAAAGGCAGGCAGGTAGGTAGGTAGGTAGGTAGGTAGGTAGGTAGGTAGGTAGGTAGGTAGGTAGGCAGGCAGGCAGGCACAGCCTACAGTGTGTTCACAACATTCTCCACTCTCTGGAATGATTCCATAAACATGCCCATCATCTCCAACTGCCTAGATGATACAGCTAGCTACTAAACTCAACTGAGAGAACATCCTCTAACTAGGACTACCACACAGATAGATAAGCCTGATTGACAAAGACCCTGGGTGATCTGGAGCTGAGAGCAGATTTACTTGGCAAAACAAACCACACACACACATCGATCTGCCTGCGAATGAACATTCGTGAATCCAGACATGCACTCTGCTGTTCTCCTCCTACAACTCGGTATTCATCAACTTCCAATTAACATTGAATGCAGATTGTCTCTTCAAAGCGACTGCAGCTCTCCAGATGGCTGGAGAGACGTCCATTTGGAATGTACAGTAGCAGCCTATACATTCAGAGACAGAGGCACATTGTCAATGTATATATGAGCAATTAACCAGAGACAGGAATAGATTTGTGTCACTTCTATGACTCTGATAGCTGGCGTTACCCATTGTTGTTAACATTGACGCAGATGGACTGGCCATAGGGCAATTCTGGTAAATGCCAGATGGGTTGGTCTGGGGTGTCACGACTTCCTCCGAAGCTGCCTCCTCTCCTTTTTCGGGCAGGCTTCGGTGTTCGTCGTCACCGGCCTTCTAGCCACTGCCGCTCCTCATCTCATCATTCCATTTGTTTTGTCTTGTTTTTACACACACCTGGTTCATATCCGCTCATCAGTACCTGTATAAGTATTCCCTCTGCCCTCCATGTCTTTGTGTGATTGTCTATTGTGGAGGTCACTATTGCTCGGTGGAGCTATATTGTATTGTGTATCCCCGGGATATTCACCCGTGTGCCTTGTTTTCTCCAGTGCGCCGTATTTACCGCACTGGAGTGTTTTTTTACGCATTGCTGCGTACTGCTGTACTGCCGAATAAAGCATTTATTCTGTGATTTACCCTCCAACGCCTGACTCCGTCCAAATCACCCGCTACATGGGGCTTTGAGCTAAATGCTCATTATTTGGCTAATAATGGTGGCCTTGTGGGAAAAAATGGGTCGGTGTCAGGACTCAAGGAAAAAAATGGTCCGGTGTGTTAGAAATGCCCGGGCAGATTTCTGGTCCCAGTCCGTCCCTGCGTTGACGTGTACACTGAGAGGTGGAAAGAGCCTAAAAACACTCATGAAGAATTTAGTATTTGTGCTAATTAGGTGTTTTTGTACTGGCCCAGAGATGTAACCAATATATTGCACTGTAGAGTAATGTGTTCTTCACGTTGTTTATCTTGGTCAGTGGAGGGGAGAATCATTCATGTGAGGGAATTGTAGACATAAAAAATGTAAGACTTAAAGGAGATGTTTTGGGGAAATACTGTTTTTTTTTGTCATGGATGTGTGTGTTAGAATGAAGAGAGAAGGTCCTCCATTAATCAATAACATTTATGGATTTGTATCTGCCCAATAGAAACATGCTGTACTTGTTTTGATTGACTGGTTTGGCCGTTTGAAGGGTTCATATTGACTGTAGACTCGAATGAACTTAAAGGCTTACACTACTAAGTCAATTTCCAAATGATGACTTTCATTGTGTTAGTAAAGACTGATTTCTACGCTTATCCCACGATAGTCCAATATGCACTTCAAATGGCAAGTACAGAGAGCAATTTGTTTTTGTTCCTTTTGGAAAAATGGCCAACTCTCCAAATCTGTACAGTAGCATTTCCTTTGCTTCCCCCAGGGCATAAATCAGATGCTGACTCGCAGATATTAAAAACAAATATTGTGCTTCATAATACGGCACTGTGTTTACGGATTACTTTTTTATTGAGTTGAAAAGAGAGTGGATACCTGAGTCTGTAGCACAGTGTTATGTTCAGGGCTTCTAGCTGTCTGTAGCACAGTGTTATGTTC